GTTAAATTATCCAGTCTTCCCATGTATTTTAATAAGGTTATATCTGTGTGCATTTCGACATTCTTCATGACCCAGTGCCTGTACATAACTTGATAGACCCTCTGCAACTGCAGAGTTATGGCTATGCATACCGCAATATGAAATCATTCGGTTTATTTCAACCAGACACGTCTTAACCTCTTGTAGCTTAATGTCGTTGCGTTGTATGATCATCGCGCACTGAGTAATGTCACGCATAGAAATTACCGATATAGTGTTATTTACGTGTGTAGTGGTCTGTTTATGGTGGTTATTTGTTCATTAAGGCATATCTTGTTGGGATTATTGAATTTGAATTCGTTGATTTTGTAATTTTCTAAACTTTCCATTAAGTAACTTTTGTTCTTATGATGCAGAATTAACTTCTTTTGTTTCGAATATAATTTTATGACCGCATTTATTGTAAGGACTAACCCATCAAAATAGGTAGGTTTTTTAAATTTACCTCTTTGAAATTTCATTGATACTTTTATTATATCGGTCGCCTTTTTCACGGCATCAAAACCTATTGTATTTTGGTCTGAAAGCGCAGCACAACTTGCTTTTTTCGCTTTTACTTCTTTGCTAAAGCATCGAACATATTATTTACAATATTTTACATTCATTTTTTGGAATGCATTGAGCATTAGATGCGTATCCGTTAACTTTGGTAAAGCTTTGCCCCTGCTATTGCTTTTGTCGAGTTGGTATAAATATATAGTTGGTCCGAAAATGATATTATATTATCGTGCCAAACAAAGTTAACATCAATCAAATTATTTCCCAAACTTTTGAGAAGATGTGGTGCATCATATAGAGCACAATATGTTCTCTCGCCAACTTTAAAGTAAGGGTTTGTTATTATATATGGAAATATGACCTTTTGAGATTATTGAATGGTTTTATTGACGTTTTAAATAGAACAACTTTAACTTAAATTATATCGGACACTACAAAACGATACAGACTCTTCGACGCTCTCTCTCTCTCTCTCTCTGTCTCTTTCGTATTATATTTTTTAGTTCGCAGCGCCACCGCTACAACCATAGAATATAAAACTAAACATACATTTTATTGATACCCAACAGGGTTGTTAGGTGTAACTTTTAATAGATTGAATAATTTTTGATTAACGGGAGCCTAATCGCAAATAATTGTAACTAGATTGAATCCAGTGTTACTCAGAGACGACAGAGTGAATTTTATGATTTTTTCTAAAGTGTCGACCTTTACACCATGAGATGTTAAATAAAACGATAACGGAATACTCCACGGCGCGTATAACCGACTAACAAGTAAAAGAACTAAGGCTTCATTTGCAAGGCTACTAGATCGTCTATACTCGGCTAAATCCTCAAAACCTTCAATAAAGCCTTTATTCCTTGAAATTGGAAAATGAAACTTCTTACTTGCTTTTTATATTTTAATTTAAACGGTACTAGTTTCGGGAAAACTTAGTTTTCCATCATCAGCCGAAGCTATATATATATATAAAACTGGGTTAATAATAATTAAACAAATATAAAAGAAAATTGAACTTACTGTCAATGAAGCTATTTTAGGAAACGTTTTTGTCATTAAATACAAATCAGCTATTAAAAACATTCAAACTTCGTATTCAAGGTGCTGCTTTATGGCCATCTCATCGAAGATAAGTACACATTCCCTCTGTTTTTTGTCCATGCTATCTGATTTTATTTTTAATATGCGTAGTCGTGATTTGATTCCTGGTTGATACTTCTGCTTATTCAATCAATGGGAAATAGTTGACGGCACCGGCAATATCAAACCTCTATTTCTCAAATATTTATAGGTAGATGGTGACTTATAATATAAACCCAAGGCAGTTATTTTTTCAGCTGAAAGCTACGGCTGGCGTTTTTTGTGATATAATTGCATTCTGGTTATGGCTCTCGCCACTAAAGGTAATTTCTCTAATTTGTTAAAAGTCTCTACGTTGACTTTGTGTTGGTCCACTTGTCGATGGTCGCTCATTATAAGCATGGTAGACTTGTGTAGATGCTATATTGGAATCGATGTTGCAAGCCAATGAATTAAATATCAAAGTAACTTCTAACTTGCTTTATTTAAAAATTTCAGTGGTACATGTTTCGGGATTAAAATCCTATCATCAGCGACGAACTGTTAAAAAATATAAATCACTTCAATATACAGGGTGTATCTGAATAACTACAACAAACTTCAAGGGGTGATTCTTTAGTGAATTTTAAGGGTACTTTCATATATGAACTATGGGCGACTTCGGCCCCCCTGTCGAACCAGGGGGGCCGAACCCCTCCAACCCCTCCAAAAATGGCGGAAAATTTTGGTTTAATTTTTTTTTCTCAAAAACCATAAACGCTAGGAAAATGAAATTTTGAAATATGTTTAACTCATAATAGGGCACGTATTGACCCTATTTGTACTTTCATCCCACCCTTCTAAACTACTAAACGTAACCACCCCCTTTATATTTTTGCTAACATTTTTTTTATGCAGATGATAAATACATTTTACATAGGTAGATGAAAGTATCCTAAAACTTTTTTGTCTTTCTAAAATTTTTCCAAAAACGACTAATTGAGAAAAAAAAATAATAAAGCAAACACTGCCCGTTAAACAACGGGGTTGTCGATCAAAAGTTGGAATGAATTTTTAATGAAAAAATGTTAGTAGGCTTTGCAATCTTTGTCAGAAATGTTTTTGACGTTTAAATGTCAGTGTTTTTCTTACTGAGTAGTACCGCTCACTGATTTTGGCGAGATTTTCCAAATAAGTTGATTGAGACTCTCGTTGTTATTCTGTGTGAAGCCTCCAAGACACCGCTGCAAAAGTGCGTCCTTGCTCAAATCTTGGTATATTGGCTTTATGGCTTCTGTAACATCTGTAGGAAGAGCACTGTAACTGTGTTTGAATGAATCCAGAGTGTTTGCAGCTGCCGCTTTTTGCCATTCACACCAAGACTCCTCACCGCGCGGGCATTTGTCGTGCTGTGGTTTCTCGTCTGTCGAGCAATAGTGATAATATGTCGCCCAAATCGCACTTTTCATTTTTTTCATACAATCGTGGTTGCGTCATTTTTGCAGTGAGTTTACCTTTTCCAGAAAGACTTTTCCTTTTTATTTTTTTTCCTGTCTTAGTTTCACTATCGACCACAGTTGTTTTTACTAGTTCACGTAAACGAGTGCCCATTCTTTTCTGCACATGTCCTATGCACTCTTTCTTATTTATTGTAAAATTTTCACCATACGGTTTAGCGTTTACCAAACCACTGTAGGTTTTAGAATCACCGTCTCCTATATAATTTTTAACCATTACTCCAAAATATTCCATGGAGCGTTTGAACATCTGGATGATGACGTCTACTTCCATGTTGCCTGATGGACCAACATGATTTGCTTTACAGTTTCCGCTGTTGACGTGTTCTTTGTTCCATTCTTCGAATTCGGCGGTACCTAGCTTATTTTTCCAAGTTTTGCATTGGTGGCAGTAAGAACTCTTGACAAACACATCAAAAACCTTTCCCGTATAGTAACCGATCAAAGAAGCGACACCGAATAGCGAAGTGAAACCACGTTTCTTCCAAGTTCCGTCGCCCGATACTGTTAATTCGTTAGTATTTTGTACGTTATTCGCTTTGCATGTGTCCTCTTTCTCTTCTTTTACAGCAGCAGCAAAAAATCTGCTCGCAACATTTTTTACAGCCGTATGTATCTTCTGTATGTGCGTGTTATAGCTTGGTTTTGATAAGAAAGACTCCGCTAAATCAATCCGCAAAACTTGTCACATCCAGCTAAGCCTAGGCCTAACACACACATGACGAAAGCAAAACGATGATTCACTTCATAATGCGATTGCCTTGACCTTTCTTTCACTCTTTCGCTAGACGAAACATACCGAGGCTCTTTGAATTTTTCACATGATATTTTGATTTTGAAGGCTAAACCTTCATTTTTGCAGGTGCGAAAAGACATTGCGATGCGCTGGACGCTTCCACATCATCATTGCTGCGTTTTGGGAAAGTTTTTTTTCTCGGTCGACCAAAAATATTACCACTTTTCTGCCGATCTTGTCTTATAACTTTTTTTGGCATTTTGCAAATAAGTAAATAAATGTATCACAACACAAATCGAGCGAAAATACACTACAAACGAACGAACGCAAACAAAAATCAACGGAAAGGTACGAAAAAGTCTTCTTATCAAATAAATTGACCAAAATCCCAACTAATTGATCAACAATAACTAATATGTTAAAGTGAAACAATGAAATTTTTAAATTATTTTATTAGTCCAGAAACTCGTGAACACAGTAACATATAAAGATGACTGTCTAAAAAGCGCGCAAAATAACAATTAATGAATATGTAACCATAATTACCCCTAGTGATGTTGGTTTGTTGAATAAGGAAACGTAATAACTTTATTTAAAATTAATTAGAAATCTATCAAAATCGAGCATGAGGGCCGGTCGCTTAAAACGCTGTATCTTCGTTAGTTTTGCTTCGATTTACTTGAAATTTTGACACAATACTCTCGACATATTGTGCATTCAGAAAAAAAAATAAGGCAAAAAGAAAACTTTTAAAACCTTACCCCCCATTAAACATTACATCTAAATATTTAAAAAAATATATCTGTCCTTTTTTTTATAACAGAGAACCAAAAATTAAGTTGCTAATTAAAAAATTCAATTAAGATTCTACTATTATAATTAAAAAAAAAATTATTTTCGATTTAAATTGTTGTAGAACTACAAAAGGTGAGTTTTGATTTTAAATCTTGATATTGCAGACTTATTCCAGAGCCGAGCGTTCCTTTGAGCAATCGGCCGACCATATTACCGGAGTAGTTAGTATAAACAAAGTTTTTTGCAACTATTCGAGTTTGGATAAACGACTTTGCGTATACAAATTCGTTCTTTATTATTTTGTCGTTGACAATTCTTTGGTTAAAATACAAATACGAAAATTAAGAAATATTTATTAGAATCAATTAAATAAATAAAAACGAAGTATTTCTGATTTTATTATAACATTCATGAACATTTTTAAGGGGGACTTTATTGTGTTAACTGAAAATAATGAAAATCATGAATAATAACAAAAAAACAAGAAATCCCGCTAATTACTTATAATTACAAATTACTTATGTTGTAAAATAGTAACTTTATTGGTTCTACCACGGCTTTTAAAGTTTTGCGAAACTTTTTTACATTCTTTGTATATTAATGTTCTAATTAGTAAGTGAAGCATAAAAATTCGCTGGTCTTCACATACAGAAAACCAGTCTCCCAAAAATTTAAATAAACATCGTTTAAAAATTAGAATGTCATTATTGTATGTTAGTTCACCTTCTTTCGTCAATAATTCACGGCACATTTCACATGAAAATTTATCAACACACTTTTTTATAATGAATCCTGCGAAATATACCGTGGCACAATCTTCTAAGCAGGTCTGTTGCACATCTTCATCATCGCTATCAGTACTTCACATCGATGATGTGCTTAAAGATAAGGTGATGAAAAACCTTATCCGAAAAATTATGTTTTGTCTGCACATTTAAGACAGCTTCAGAAGTTACTTCATAATTTCCTGTCTTTGGTGGTTTTAAAAGGTTCCATACAACGTTGGTTTTAAAGGCAGCTTGAAAGTTACCCACGGTGGGATTTTTTGCATATCCTGCACGCTGTCTATATATAGAAAATTGATTTTCAAGAATATGCTGATTTAGTTTTGAGGTTAGGAGATAATTATAGCCTTTTTCTTTTTGTTGTCGATACAACCCTATCACCGAATTGATGGCAAGTAGTATGCCATCGAAACAAGGTGCTCCTCTTTGAAACTTTTTTGATGTTTTTCATCACTTCAGTCGCTCTTCTTAGGGCATCAAATCCGAAAAAGTTCTGCTCCGATAGAGCAGCACAACTTTTCTTCTTAGTTCTAATTTGTTTGCTATACACACTTGCTAAGTATTGCCGCACTAATGCTATGACTTAAAACGTGAAGAGCCAGTTCAATTCATTTTCTGAAATGTGTTGGGCATTATATGCGTCTCCGTGAGTTTCGGCAATGCCCTATGCGTGGTATTACTTTTATCCAATTCGTATACTCCACGAATATCCGAAAATGAAATACAGCTATTATTCAAAATAAAATTTTCGTACACTTTTTACGAGATGTGGTGTATCGTATAGTGCAAAATAACTCATATTGCCTACTTTGAAAGAAGGTTTATTTGGTGCTACGTTTAATAAATTAAATAATTTTTGGTTTGTAGGGGACTGATCACAAACAATTGCAACAATATTCAGTCCAATATCGCTTATCGACGCAAATGTCGATTTTATTATTTTTACTAAATTATTGGCCTTTACATCGTTGCATGATAAATAAAATGAAAGAGGAATTATCCATTGCGAGGATAATTCGCTTGCCGGGTTGCTGGTTCGACCATATTCCCCTAAATCTTCATATCCTTCTATGAAACCTTCTATTCAAGTTGTCGTTTAATGGCCATTTCATCGAAAACTAACACGCATTGCTTATCTTGCTTTGACATTGTTTCTACTTTTATTTTTAATACATTTAGACGGGCCTTATTCAATTCTGGTTAGTATTTCTGTTTGGACAGCCAGTGGGAAATTGTTGTCGGTGATGGTAATATAAACCCTTTATTCCTTAAATATTTGTAGGCGGACGGTGATTTGTAACACAATCCAAGAGCAGCTGTTTCTTCGTCCGAATGCCATGATCCGCGCCTTTTATGAAATAACTGCATTCTCGTGATTGCTCTCGGAACTAATGGTAAATTCTCGACCTTTCTACCACCATTGAATTGTGTCCTGATTTTTTTCTTTGGATGCTTCATATTATTTTCATCAACGGCAGGCTTGTTACGACTAGGCGATGGCAAGTTAGTCAATTCATGTAAAATTTTATGTACATCGTTTTCGTTGTCACTTTCGGGATCAGAATAATCTTTCGTGGGTGTTAAAAATCGAACAATGTTTCAATGTTAAACTCCGGAACTTGTCGATGGTCCCTCAGTATCAACTTGGTAGACTCGTATAGGTACATCTGCTTTTTGATGTTTATATGACAATGGTACGGCAGATGAGGATATTTTTTTCTTTAAAAGATCGATACTTCGCAAATGCAGCGTTTCTTCAATTTATCTGGGCTCAAAGAAGCAAGTTCTGAATTTCCTGTTGTTTAACAGAAAATATGTGTAATATAAATAAAGCTTTATTTTACTTTTTATGTTAAAATAATCAACTAATAATTTTATCTTAAAATAAAATAGCCAATGGTATTGTAATGTTATGTTAAACCGTCTTCAAAAAATTTAAGTTAACTCTAATAGTTAAAAAATATATATAAATAACATTGTATGTTACTATATTTTAGTAAAATTAAAATAAAATAAATTTAGATAAAATTTGTATAAACATTAAATTAATTATTCGGAAAAAATTATAAAATAAAAAAAATCGCTATCTTTTGTTGTTAAAAAAGGCATAGAAACAAAATAAATAAATAAATAGAAGAAAAAAGATCAATAAAATAAGATGTAGACGTGGTTTGGATCCGACAAAATTAAAAATAAAACTGGAAACTATATAAGAATGTTATATAATAAACTATATAATAAAATAAGCTGTAAAATAATAAATTGAAAAGAGAGAGGAAAGAAAAGAAGTAAAAAAAGAAGAAAGAAAATCTTAATATGGCTAGTTAAGTGGAGAGAGGAAACGAACGTGGAAAAGAAGAAAGAACTCGAGGAATTTGACTGAACTGAATTTGATTTTTGAATTTGTTGAATGAATTTTGAAGAATTGTTAAGATAAACGTTTTTTCTTTATTACATTCAGTTAATTTATTTTGAGCGTCTCATATATAAAAAAGTCTTCAAAACCTAAATAATTTTCTTTATCTTTTAAATTATTAAACTTAAAAAAAAATAAAATTAAACTGAAGTCGAATATACAATTAAAACCTTAAAACAAATTTTAAAAAAGGTGGAATTATCTCAATTTTAAATTACTGAGATATGAAACATAATTTAAAAAAATGTTCATTTATCTTTATTTAAAGTTTTTAAAAGAAAGATATGAAATTGCCACTTCAGGGTGTAAAATTTGACTTAAAAAGTGGTACAGAAAGAATCTTTTAAGAAAATGAAGAAAATGTTATAAGTTGATAAGTTTACCTGAATTAAGTATCCAATTTTGACACCTGCTTTTGTCTGAAGTTGGAAAAGCAAACATTCTTACTCCTACAGTATTTCGATCGGATTTTCCACAAAGAAAATATGCGCACTTTCTCACCATTATGGAAAAGTGGGTTAGGTTGGATGAAACGTGGGTGAAAAGATAATATTTACAGGATTTAACTAAACTACAAAGTTTTTAATAAATAGAATCTAAATTAATACTTAATAAACACTACTAAAATATAAAACTACATATAAAATATTAATGTTGTTCGCAAGAATAAGTCGGCGATTCAAAAGAAGGTGCTGGTCACACCAAAAAATTTAAGAAAAGAGTAAATGAAAAAAGATGAATAAATAAATATAATTATATTGATTAATAAAACAATAATAACTAAATGAATATCGTTAAAGATAAAGAATAAGAATGTATATCGGTTGGTTAACGTACCAAGAAACGATGTAGAAAAATATTGGGCACTACGACACACACCAGAGAGCTAGCTTAACAACGACCTCTTCCGGGTGAAGAGGTGAACAAATACAAAATAATATATATGAATTTAAAGCGGAGCGAACAAATGTCCTGGATAAAAAATAAAATACGGAAATGATGGATAATAAAAATAACATAAGATGCTAATTTCTAAACTAATAATATGAATATAATATAGGAATAATAGAAGTTTGGTAAGAGAGGATAAAAACGCAATGTTAGACCAACAACAATCGCAAGACCAATGAATTCTTAGTGTTAAAATTATCTTTAACTTTTGCCTCTCTTGAAGGGACTTACGTGGTGTTAAAGAAAAGGGTGGGATTAAATAAATAATGACTAACGCATACAGAGAAACAGAAACAAAAAAACCTTTCGGGGTGAGAACACATAGTATAATTAGATAAAACTAAAAATAGCTTTTGTAGGTATAAAGCCTACCCCGTTAACATTAACTCAAGTATTTCAAGAGTGTTCAACCGCATAAATAAAAGCGTAGTCCGGCTACAAAAACTCTGGATGTTTTGAAACTTCGTACAGGAAATTATTCCTAATTGATTACATCATATTTACCTAATTAATTTATTTCATAAATTCTCTGTAAAAATCAATGCCTTACCCCGGCATTTAAAATATAGTCTTTTAAACAAACTTCTTAAAAAACAATCAACAGAGTTGGTTTCCTCTCATAAAATCTGTTCATCCACCTATTCAAAAAAATTTGGCGTTTACAAATCTGTACCTACCGACGAATAGTCTCCAACAATTCGGTATTATTCTCGAAGGACACATTATCGATTATTTTGTATACAAGAAATTCTAAAATGTATGCAACTTATTTTTTGTAATTCGCTACGGCAATGGAAGCTATAACAGTACTCAAACGGGTGCTGCAATGAGACTCCTTACAGCATCCGATGCTGTAATGAGATTTTAGTAACATTTTATGGAACCAGTTCAAGTTGGTGACATTGGGTCATTAATTTTTCTAGTTGTCAATGTGACAATTTTTGTCTATGGATGTTTAAACACGTTCTTAGCATCGAATACAAAGTCCACAATGATGAGGACATTGACTCTGAGCAATTTCTCTTATTTTGGGAGGTGTACATCAAACATTTTTTTCAGGTGAATATATTTTGTGTTTTGACAGTTTCTAATTGTCAATTCAAAGTTTCTATTTTCAAGTGTTCCGGTGTTACCAACTGCTACATACCTATTTCCCTACATTGCCAAAATTTACTTTATTTTTGATAAAAAAAGTATAAAAACGCGAATTACAAAAAATAGCATAAAAAACACGTTTCATAAGACTTAAAGCACTCATTCATTAAAAAACTCGTGGCTTCGCTCGTTTTTCAACTTGAATTCGTGCATTTCAAGCGTGTCTTACGAAACTTGTTTTTTAACATACTATTACAGTTTTCGTAGTAATACGTTAGGGCGCGAATAGTAAAATTTAAATTTATATGAATGGCGACACATAAGTAATTCTTTGGATAACTATGTATACCTACAAACAAGGGTTTTATTGTTGTAAATAACAATGTACTTGGAGATGTCCTAATAGGTAACATTTCTTTAAGAGTGAAACCTCGCACATTTTTCCCAATAAATTAATTTGCAATTGAAAATTGTATTGTATTGTTTAAAATTTGCTTAATATTTAATGTAATTGATAAATCAGGCTTTAGTTACAATTTAGAGGTTAATTATACATAAAAGATCTATTGTTCAATTTACAAAAAGTTTCAATTTCATGCACAGTTATTTTTTGAGTTTAATTTTAAAGCATCGGAATCGATTCTCAAAAATGGAATCGATTCATAAGAATCGAGTCGAATTGATACCAAAAGTATGGTCAACTGTATCGCCAATCAATACACCCGATACACAAAAAATATTATAATTTTATCTTGATTAATTTATGAACAAATTTGACAAAAAACTATTACCTGTTAAACTGAGGAATTGTCTTCAAAAGTTAGACTACTTGAAAACCGTTGGTGCCCTTATATTGCTGTTCAAAATAACTTTCTTAAAGGTGTTTGTAATTTCAGTGCACGGTTAACTGGTGAACAACTGACACAAATTGGTATTATCCTTTTAGAGGGTTGGCCTTACCTAAAATACAAAAAAAAATATTAGATAAAAATATATCTCACATTTTATGCCTATAGAAATGTATTATTGTAACTAATCAGAAGTAAACGTCCTCAATGTATTTTTTATCTATCAGAATGATAGATTTAAAAAGACACAATTTATGAATATAAAAACTCCGGGACAAAATTAACGCACCACTTACATTTTTCCAGTATTTCTTAATTAATGATAAGTTGTAATTTACTAGCTTTACTGCTAGTAGGCTAAGGATATTCTTTGACATTTAAAATAAATATTGACAAAGAATACCTTGTTTTTAAGGTTATAAACCGTAGTTAAAATCGCTTTTGATTAAAACTCTCTCGAAATTTTCGGGCCCGCGGTTTTTCTTTTATCGCGAGTTAAGTGAAAAAAGTACCCGATTTTTGAGAGTGCCAGCAACTTTGTCTACGAAAAAATTTGAACTGGTGGTAAACCGATGTGCTCTTAATGTGAATTTCGCAAAATTCGGCTCGTTCGGGGTTTTTAATCGATCTAATTTTAACGGCATCGTATTCCTGGTGGCCTCTTGCTTCAGATTCGAAAAGAAAATTTTCCTAACCATTTCTTATATTCCTGGAAAATCGTTTTTCTTCAAACAATTGGGTTAGAAATGGTTAGAAAAATTTTATTTTCGAATCTGAAGCAAGAGGCCACCAGGAATACGATGCCGTTGAAATGAAATCGATTAGAAACCCCGAACAGGCCAAAATTTGCGAATGTTTGAAGAAAATCGGTTTTTCCGGAAAATAGGAAATGATTAGGAACATTTTCTGTTCCAATCTAAAGCAAAAGGCGACCAGGAATACGATGCCGTTGAAATGAGATCGATTAGAAACCCCGAACCGAATCGGCCGAAATTTGCGAATGTTTGAAGAAAATCGATTTTCTCGGAATATAAGGAATGGTTAGAAAATGTTCTTTTCGAATCTGCAGCAAGAAGCGACCAGCAATCTAATGCCGTTGAAATGGGATCGATTAGAAACCCCTAACACCCCGACATTTGCTTATGTTTGAAGAAAATCAACTTTTCCGGAATATAGGAAATGGTTACGAAAATTTTCTTTTCGAATTTGAAGCAAGAGACCACCAGGAATACGATGCCGTTGAAATTAGTTCGATTAAAAACCCCGAACGAGCCGAATTTTGCGAAAGTTTGAAGAAAATCGATTTTCCCGGAAAATAACAAATGGTTAGGACTATTTATTATTAATGTAATAAAATAAAAAAGTATTTTGAACAATAACTAAAGATTTTCATTTTTCTAATTGATATGTTTCGCTTTACGGCATTTCGCTTTACGGCCCAATATCGAGGAAAGTATCTCAACCGTATAACGAGGTATGAGTGTATAATAAATATATGTATAGCATATAAATATATCTCAGTATGGGTGGGACACAGATATTTAGTTTTTAATACATAATGTACAATGCAAATAGTGTATTTTTGTTTGCTGATCGAATAGTTGGATTATTCCTTTGTTGATTTATTATTTTTCTTGTTAGGTCTGCATTTTGCAGTATTTTTAAGAAGATATGATTTTGCAAAATTAATGTCCGTGTAACCAAAAAAACCTTTTTTTCTCTAGTTTAAACGAAAAACAATATAAATCAGCAAAGTTTGAGTTATTTTAGATTGTTCTATGTGTTTTCATTGTTATTGTATAATTCACAACCACTGACGCAAGAATTACTGACTGAAACTTCCAAAAACTTTAATTTTCAAAGAGTAGTGTCCTTTATAGAGTTGTTCTAGTGAAAATAGTAGCTGTTCCAGATTGCTTTAGATATAAGTATATATTTGTAATATGGAAATGAAAATAGAAAAAATATGGTCACAGCAATCAACTAGACATTTTGGTAGCCAAACCTATTTTTAGTTATAATTTCGTAATGATGCATCCCATAATTTTGATTTTCTAGAACAATAACTAGAACAACTAGAACGACAAAGAAAAATTGATTTTTCCAAAAATAGGGGGCTAGTCAAAAAACCCGTTTTTTCGGTTTTTCTCGCGGAGTTTTTATTTTTTCTATTTGCCGCTTTGGAACTAGGATGTAGAACAACTCTAGAACAATTTGGAACAACAATGAAAAATTTTAAAATATAAAAATGGGGGGCTAACTTCCCGCACTCAGGTGAATGCCAGTTTTAAGAATACATTTACTATTATAAAATAAGTTTCTATTCATTTTATATTTTTTTATAAAAATTCTTACCTCATCCATACCGACATCTAGTTCGTAAACATCTTCGCAATGCAAAATTGAAAATCTGCCTCTTTTTTGTTTTTATTCGATGACAATTGACAGAAGTTTTGACGTAAACGTTACAAGAGACATTCCATATGCAATATTTGGACATTTCTACAGCGCTGTTATGAAAAAAACCGTTAACAGCAAAAAAGAAGCTTCTTCGAGATCAACTCTTCTTTAAATGGAAACCAGAAGAGCGTACGAGTAATGCGAGGTCAACGAAAAAGGTTATGCGAAACTGAAACGACATCTGGTGGCAAGTATAGTTTGGTTTCCCATTAATAGATGGCGTGATTTAAATTATTTTACATTTTTAGATATAATTAATTTTATTATTTTTTTATGTATTTGTTGAGCAGTATTTAATTACAAAAATAATTTAATATTTTAAGTATGATGCAGTTTACACTTGATTTACGTAAACCTGAATCAGCGTTGTCCTATCGCAACGTATCCGCATACGTACAGTTTCACGCAAAAGTATCGGTAGATCTATTAGAAATATGATTCTATGAAAGTAATCCTTTAAAGTTATAGTTCATTACGGTACATGTTTTTCCAAAAAAAAAAGGGAAAGTAAAAAGAACCGAAAGTTTCTGCCGGTTTCAAAGCGTTTTGTTGAATTGCGGTAACGTTTTTATTAAAACAACGAGGCGTTGATGGACAAACAATATATTGAAAATACTGCTGAACTACAAACTATGAAAGCATTTCAAGCGAATTAACTGTATATACAAATACAATTAAAAGACTTTTTAAGATATTATACTTAAAGAAAATGAAATATTAAAAAAACCATTACCTAAAGAGAACTTATCCCGGGTGTTTCATTTAAAATGATATATGCTTATATCTCAAAAACAAAAACTGGAATCGAAAAAAGTTTCAAGTAAACATTTTTTGGTGACAAGGGGGACACATTGTACACATGAACAGAATCTTTTTCAGGGTTGCCTAAAAGCCCTTCTGACGTCATTTTTATTTTTTCAAACGGCACATATACTTTTTTCTTTCAAAGTCTTAAACAACTTGACAAACTGATTACTTTTTGCTTCAAAATTTTTTTTCTTAAACCCTCCGTTGTGAAGATACCAACAAAAACAAAAATAAAATAACGTTTCAAAATGTAATTAAAAAAAATTAATTAATAAAAAAAACGATTTAATTAATAGTAAAATAATATTAAAATTCTTCTTAACTTTTGAAATTGTCTTAGAAAGTTGATTAAAAATTTTTTTTTAATGTTTATAAATCTAGTAAATCCTGTTCTAAACCTTGTTTGGATATGCGCTAACTTGCACGTGGGATAAAAAATTCAAGCGAAAAAATCATTGTGATCAAAGCAAAAATGGAGCACTTCTCTACTCCACAGAAAATTCAGATGGTGTTAGCTTATGGTGAAAGTCGAGAAAATTTCGCTAAGGCCCATATTTATGTTTGAAAATTTCCTGGACAAAGAGCGCCTTGTCTTAAAACTTTATATCGAATAGTTACAAAATTTCTGGAATGTGGTACCGTGGAGGAAAAAAAGACGAATACGTGCAAGATCGGTTACGAATGAACAGAATCAAATAGCTATTTTAGCAGCTGTAGATGTTAATCCTCATGTAAGTTGCCGTCAATTGTCAAAAGATTCAGGCATTTCGTTAATGAGTGTACATCGGATTTTGAAACTTAATAAGTTTCATCAGTATCATGTCTCTCTACACCAACAATTACATGGCGATGATTTCGAAAATCGTGTGCAAATTTGTACTTGGGCTATGAAAAAATTAAAATTGAATGAAAATTTTTTCTTCATTGTACTATTTTCCGACGAATCCTCTTTCACCAATCACGGCCAAGTAAATCGTCATAACATGCACTACTGGTCACATGAAAATCCTCGTTGGCTAAGACAAGTTGATCATCAAAAACCTTGGTCAGTTAATGTCTGGTGCAGCATTGTTGGCAATAAAATAATTGGACCTTTTTTTGTTGATGGCAATTTGAATGGCAGAAAGTATCGGAATTTTTTGTTGAACGATTTACCAGTTTTGTTGGAAGACCTTACTCTGGAGCGAAGATTTGCGCTATGGTATCAGCATGATGGATATCCATCTCATTTAACGTTTAATATATTAAATTCAGTATTTATGCCGACAATGTATAGTTATTAGAGGTTCATCAAAAAAATTATATGATTACAACAATGGAAACTTTTTAAAATTAGTAGAGACTATTGCTAAATTTGATAACGTGATGGCTGAACATTTACGTCGTATTCAAACCTCTGACAAAAAGAATATTGCGCATTATTTAGGAGATGGCATACAAAATGAAATAATTAATTTAAGGGCCGAAGGCATAAAAAAAACACTGTGGACCTTATCAGCACATGCATTTCGTATAAAGTGAAATCTTATATTTATATTGTCACACCTCACTTTACTAGGGGGTAGCGGATGTGAGGTATCTATAGGATGTTGAATGAAAGGCCTTCTACTTATGTAGGTACACTTAACTTTATTTGCCTCTAACAACAATTAACAATCCACTCGATGTTACAATTCTATCTAACTATTATTCTCTCCGCTGTGTCTAGGTACACGCTAACGAGTATGCAAATTAAAAAATTATATACACGCGAAACGTCATCGTAGCTATGACGTCACGTTTAGCGTGCGTATACTGAGTATTATTCGGTACACGTTAATAACTTGGAAGGTTTAAGCTTGTATAAGTATTGTCGATTTCTTCTTACTAACTTAAGTTAATAATTTAATCATTCATTTTCAACAAAAAAAGAGTATATTACACCGCACCCCGGCGAGAATAGTCGCTCTATCAAAAAAATTATAAATGTTCATTCTTTGTTAATTTACAATTTTTACGCATAACTCACAAAATGAATACTTTTGAGTTGTTCACCGTTTTTCCCACATGTAATAAAATTTCTGTCATATTTCTGTATCAGCTAAATAGGTATAATTTTGTCGTAATAAATTATAAATAATGTAAATAATATAAATAATACACATTTTATTTCAAGTTAATTTAGAATAGTCTATTATTTTCTCGTATTATTTTTTCTTTTCCGCTTTAAACCCACAACGGTTTGATCAGCACCTTTAGGTCTTCCTGGTCCTTTAATTTTTGGTGGTAATACTATGTTACTAATCACTAAAAAACATTAGATTAAGTAATGCTTATAAATGCATATACTTGAAATATTACTACAATCTATCTTTTGTTCATTTTTATCGGCAAGTTAATCTCCATTGCTATTTTCATTAGCTGCAAGAAATTCTCCTTCATGTACATCTAAAACATATTAAAATTGTTAATTATGATGGTATGTTGTAGCAGTTAAAGCACACAAATCAAGTGTGTTTGAGGTTGTTACATCTTTCAGCGTAATTAGTTCATTATTGACGTTAAATACCCAGTCAAGTTGCATTGTTCAACATTTTTACTGCATTGAATTGTATTTTCATCAATAAAACTGTCGCCATCAATTAACTTAATAGCTCCTTCTTTGCCTTCCCTCCAAGCCGTGTCTATTTCACCCAGTATTTTCATTTTATAGTTGAAATAACTGCCACAAGATAAGCTAGCTAAATCTACCAGAGAATTTTTCACAAAAAGAGCTTCATTTCTCTTCTGATTTACAATAAAACTCTTTGGACCAGGATAAAGTTTTATCAAATAACTCCATTTTTTCCAATTTTCTAACAGCAAAAATGTGTTTACAGGGTAGAAACATTGATGTAAACTTGATGCAAGTACATCGAATTGTTGAAACGTCATAATTGTTTCCATTTAATTCCACTCCATATATATGTATCTTGCAAGCTTTCAAAGTCACTTTTACTTCTTTTGAGGTTACAATTTGAAACTGGACATATCAGCTAGCATAAGGTGTTAGATATTCTTCATACTTAAATTCGCAACTATCTTTACCAAACACCGTAATAGGCCTTGTTAAAAAAAACAATCTTAAACAAAAAAAATCTTTCACGAATTGCATGAAGCTGCTGTTTTTCTTTACTTCTTACTTTATTTTGGCATTCATTGGTTCCAACCTGTTGTTTGTTCTATTTAACAAATTACCGTGGCACATACTATAAACAGTCCATTCATGTCTTATATTATGCCAGTTTTTGTTGTAGTAGTTAACTAATGATTGTGAAGCGATCTCCTGCAGTAATTGATACATTTTCTCGTATTCTTCTTCACTTTGGCTGTAAGCAAGACTCTCTAATAGTTTGAGAGCGTCAATTCTTTCCTGATTTGTGATATGCATTTTTTTTCTTTAGATACTTCTCTCTTTATTGTCTTTAAAGTAAGGAACAAACAAATATATACTTAGGCTTGAGGAAAACTGTCTTTTATCACATTTCTTTGTAGTAGATCCTTATCACCCATGAAACATTTTATTTGATTATCACAATCAGAATTCACTTCTTTAAAGGTGTTCAACAACTAAGAAAATGTTTCTTTCTCCTCGTGCGCTGTTATAACAACTGCTACTATTTCACTTTGACCATTTGAGTCCTCTACAATCATTATAAATACTGTAAATCCTATATTTAATAACTTGTAAGTACCATCTATTGACACAAATTCTGGCCATGATTTCATTGCTCTTCTCATGGACTCAGTAGAAAAGGGCTTTAAAATGATTTTCAGAATCATGTAAGATGTGTATGTTACATTCTGCAAAAAAAAATGGTTTATAACAATGTTCTTACATTGTTACTATTCTTACTTCTAATAAGTATCTATGTACTCACTGTGAATGTCTTTCAATTCCTTCACAATATGTATCAAATCGTTGCTAATGTTTTTCATACTATATGAAATATTTGATAAATCTTTTAATGTACTTAATTTTCCAGTTAAATTCAATATTTTTTGCTGAATCAGCTTTTTATTTCCACGAACATCCGACAAACCCTCGACCATACATTTTTCATCAGAAGTTAATTTATGATTAGATGGTAAATGATTAAACACCACCTAAAAGTGATGGGTGTACAACATGGTTAGATAATATGGAATTATTGGATACACTATAAAATATACATAATCATGCCTACTTACTGATGACATATCATGATTTTCATGTTTCTCTAATAATTGCTTAATTTGTAGGCAATCACCTTCCTTAGTAATTGGAATTTTAATGATAGCA